ACTCTGAGAGGGAAGACCTGACAGGGATCTGCCTCCAGACTCTCTGAGCCTCTGCTCCTCTGCTCCTCTGCTCCTCTTCTCTGCTCCTCTCCTCTCTTCTTCGACCAGCTGAACCCTGCTCCTCTCCGCTCCTGTCATGCCGAGCCTCCTTCTCTGCCCCAGGCCGTTGGCCGTCTCTGCTTGTTACTGGCCTCTCCACGTGCTCCTGCTGGAGCTCCTCGTCCGAGGAGTCCTGCCCAACATCTCCAGATTACCTGCGACGGCCAAACGTGAGATCATTATCGACGGAGACCTGGTGATTGGCGGTTTGTTTCCCGTTCACGAAAAAGGCGAGGGCACCGAGGACTGTGGGAAGATCAACGAGCAGAGGGGGATCCAGAGGCTGGAGGCCATGCTGCTGGCCCTGGACGAGATCAACTCCAACAGTCGCATCCTCCCCGGGCTGCAGCTGGGAGCCCACATCCTGGACACCTGCTCCAAGGACACCTACGCTCTGGAGCAGTCCCTGGAGTTTGTCCGGGCGTCTCTGACCAAGGTTCAGGATCCAGGCTTCATCTGCCCCGACGGCTCCAGGCCGATCCAGAACGAGGTTCCTCTGGCCATCTCAGGGGTCATCGGAGGATCCTACAGCGACGTCTCCATCCAGGTAAGTTCACTCACACACCTGAACTGAAGAGGGTGCTATAAACACAGATGTACAGCCCTTGTCAACAGGTTGCGTTTTCAAGTTGCAAAAATTAGTTATTATTTTCTGTATCGTCCCTGTGGATCTCTGGCGCCCCCTAGAGGTAGTGCACCTCACATTATGCATTTATTCTTAACTTTTACCCAATGATGAAAAGGATTAAAGTTTTTGGTTCCACTGGGGTTCGAACCCAGGACCTTCTGCGTGTAAAGCAGACGTGATAACCACTACACTATGGAACCTCTTTTATGCATTTGAATGTGATATAAAAACACAGTAAAATAAATGTTGGAAATGAAAACTCTTAAAATAAAAAACCTAGTTTTTTCCTACCGTTTGAAGGTAAATATATATTTAATCTAATCTGTTTTTTCTTCTGAGTTTGGATGGAAAGAAAAAGTAAATATGGTTGAAACCGACACACTGTCGCCTCGAGGAAATTTTAAATTAACTCTGAGGATTTTTTACAACAACGTCTGTGGATTAAATTCCAGGGCCAGGTTGATTTCTCCGTCCTCGCAGATGAAATCAGACGAGTGTTTTTTCCGTCATTAGAACCGCGTGCTGCGGGATGACGATGACACGTGCGCGGTGACTAATGCTAGGATTTGTTTTACCCACGGCAGACACTGACATGTGTGTTTACTGTAACAGCTGACTGTGAAGTCAACACCGTCCAATCATCATCATCATCACACGTTCAACAAGAAACAATCAGGAAACGAGAGTCTGTAAATCAACAAATTCAGGACAGAAAAATCGCAGTGATGTCACGAGATCAGTCATTAATTATCGGACAGAAAAATGTTGAATACATTTTTCAAAATATAATTTTAAAATATAATTCAGGAGGTCATTAATCAACACAGTTTGTGTTTTTTTTTTTTTTTGGAGACTTCACCGTGGATGGACGCTCGTTTTATTCAAATTAAACATTTTTTTTACCAGTGTCGCCAGAATATATTTTATATTTGTTTATGTTGAACAGATGCAGAATAATTAATCAGTAAAAAACTTTTTTTAAAAACAAAAACAACATTTTTTTTCTACCTTTTTATGTAAGATTTCAATAAAATATTAAAATGCATTTTCATCATTTTTTTTTTTTTTTTTTTTTTTTTTAAAAAGAGA